CAGAGATCTGCTACCTCTGCCTCTCAAGGGCTGGGATTAAAGGCATGTGCCACCACACCCGGAGAGCATACTATTTCAGCTCAGGATGTCAGTTTTCTCTGCTCCAAAATCAGGACATTACCACTCTGCTTATGACATAGGCAAGATTAAATGAAAGAAAAACACTGAAGTAAGGCTGAGGATGGGGTGTGGTTGGTAGCCAATGCCTGCCTAGCATCACGGAGACTTGGATTCCATTCCCACCACCACATGAAACTGAGCATGGTGGGGCACGCTAGCAATCCTAGCACCCAGGAGGTAGAGTCAGGAGGATCAAAAGTTCAAGGTCATCCTCAGCTGTATAATCATTTGAGACTAGCTTGGGCTACATGAGAGTCCGTTTAAAAAGAAAGACTGCAAGGGAGGGAGAAAGGGAGAGAGGGAGGGAAATAAAAGAGAAGAAAAAACATTGAAAAAATATGCCATCCAGTGAGGTTGGGATGGCATCAGCTGAGGTGTGGCCTCTGTGGCTAAGGGAGAATGACTGAGGCAAACAGTCCCAACCTCCAAGCTCAGGTAAACCATGCAGGTCTAACCAAAGCCAGGAAGATAATCCCAGTAAAAATCACCCCCCTTGAAAACAGTATGATCCAGTTATACCATTCCTTGGCATATACCCGAAGGACTCGTCCTATTGCAGAGATACTTGTAGAACAATATTTGTGGCTGCTCCTTTCACAATAGCTAAGAGATGGAAGCAACCTAAGTGTCCCTCAACTGATGAGTGGTTAATGAAAATGTGGTTCATTTACACAGTAGAGTTCTACTCAATGGTAAAGAAAGATGAAATAATGAAATTTGCAAGTAAATGGTTGGAACTGGAAACTGTTATACTAAGTGAAGTAACACAGACTCAGAAAAATGAAAGACGTATGTTCTCCCTCATATGTGGATCCTAGCACCAAAGCCTTATATGTGAGTATATATCCTAATGTAACTGCAAGAACCAGGAAAATGGAAAGAAGGAACCAGAGAGAGAATAGGAGACCGGTGTTACTAAGGGAGAAATGTGTAAAATGGGGGTATTTAAATGGGAGGGAGAGAAGGAGGGCTATATAAGGAACTATGGGGATAAAGGGGAACATAAGATGGAGGGGACTAGAGAGATGGCTCAGAGGTTAGGAGTGCTTTCTGTTCTTCCAGAAGACCTGAGTTTGGTTCCCAACACCCATAACAGGTGCCTTGAAACCACCTGTATCTCCACCTCCAGGGAATCTAATATCCTCTCCTGGCCTCTCTGGGCATGCACACACATGGTACACACACACAAATAAAAATAATTAAAAAGCGAATCTTGGGTCAGATATGGTAGTGCATGGTTTTAATCCAACACTTGGGAGGCAGAGGTAGACAGATCTCTGCGAGTTCAAGGCCAGCCTTGTCTACATGGTGAGTTTCAAGCTAACTGGGGCTACAGGGAGACCCTGCCTCAAAAAACAAACAGAATAAATAAAATAAATATTTAAAAAATAAGATGGAGAGGAATGGAGGAATGGCTCAGCAGTTAAGAGCTGTTCTTGCAAAACATCAGGATTTGAATGCCAGCACCCATATGGCTGCTAACAACCATCTGTACCTCCTGTTCCAGGGACTCCGATGCCCTCTTCTGACCTCCGAGGGCAGTGTATGACACAGGTGCACTTACCTACATGCAGACATAACACTCATACAAATAAATAAATAAATAAATAAATAGTAAAAAAAATAAAAAGATGGAGAGCAATTGAGGAAGACACCCAACGAAGACCTCTAGCCTCCACGTGCACCTACAGGCACATGTTCACAAAAGATCGCTCTCTCTTTCTCTCTCTCACACACACACATACACACAAATAAAAACAGTCTGACACATTGATGATTTTGTTTCTAACCACAAAGTGCTGCTAAGATGTAAGACTTCAAATCTTGGTCTCCAATACTGTAGCGCCCACCTGTAGCTAAGGGAGGCAACCAGCTATTGTTCTAAAATGATGGATAAATTTGTTTTCTCCCCCTATCTAGAAGCCTTTGAGAGGGAACTGATCCTGATTCTAACCACTCCAACAGCTATCAAAGTGCCTGAAAACAAATCCTGAGTCCATCACTCTCAAGTCCAGCCTTGGCAGACAATAGAAAAATGAGGAGGAACCCAATGGAGGGATGCTTTTGGAAGCACTCGTCGTCACTCGTCGAGAAAGTCCAATGGACTCTGATATGAACATTTGAAATTTTGCCCTATTTTGACTTTTTTCTGGTTCCCTGTCTAGAACTTGTAATGCTAACTACTCTTGCCTTTACTTCTTCACATCTCTTCGGCACCAGTCAAGGACTTTCTTTTCTCCCTACAGCTAAGAGTTAGGCAATTTGAGAATCTTTTAGATAGTCCCACTGAAGGGGTACCCCAATTGCCTCACCCTTGGTCCCTGTTCAACATGGAAGAAGCCAGAGCAGTTTGTGTCCTGATTCCCTATTGGAAATTTGGGTAACCTCTTCTGGGGATGGTGTGGTAAGAATAGGAGGTAGGAATTGGCTAGACAGGGTAAAAAGATCCCAGAGAAAAGTAGCCAATTTCTTGGCTAAAAGTCAAAATGTCCTTGGGACTGTTAGCAACATGCTCTGTTCCAAAGGCCAAAACTGTCAAAAGTATTTGGGAGCTTGTATCTAATCCCTCAAAGATTTTAGGGTTACCTCTTCAGAGGGGGGAATGTTAGAATCTCAAAAAGCCCTATAAAAAGAAAGAGAGCATGAAGTTGTTCAGGAAAAAGTGATGGAGAGATATGTGAGGAGTTAGAGGGGAAGGAGTGGGCATGGATTTGATCAAAACACTTTATATGCATGTATGAAATGACTCCCCCTGGAGTGGGGGCAGAGTGTTGGAGAACCAGCCTTTAATTATGTATTATGATTAAGTAATTTACAACCCATCAGGACACAAACCCACAGTGAAACACACAGAGCAAAAAAGATTCAAGAGACAGCTGAACCCCAGTGAGACTGGGGAGTTTGTTAACTTCCTTGTACCTTGACTTTTTGAAATGGAGTCTCCCTGCAGCCCCAGCTGGCCTGGAACTTGCTATGTAGACCAGGCTGGCCTCAAACTCACAGAGATCCACCTGCCCCTGCCTCCCGAGTGGGATCAAAGGTGTGCGTCACCACGCCCTGGCAACTTCCCTGTACTTTGATGTGTGATGTGTTTGTACTTTCGTACAAAACTCTTTTGTCTCTCCTAGCAAATATTCAGTCAAATAAACATTAATCACTTAAAAAAAACAGTCCAACAATTCCAGATGTGTGTCAAGAGTCCCACGCAGTCCTTTATCCATCTTCAGTGTGGTAAGTGAACCAGCTTTCTCCTTGTTACAGATGACTGAACTGAGTCTGGGAGGGCCTGAGCCACCACTAGATTGGACTTTAGGCTGTGTGCCCTGCGGTTGGTTCTCAGGTTTGGCTTTCACACTCTCATCCTCCGATGTCTCCCTATGTACTGGATGTTATCTATGCTCCTGAGACTCACATCTGTTCACTAGGCTCAGCATCAGACTCATGGGTCCAACAGCCTCCTGAGCCACCTCAAGCCTTGTGTGTCCAAAGATGACTCCTTATTTCCCTATACTTGCTCCAACCCACTTCCCAAGAAGGACTGGCACCATTTCCTAGATTTGGAACCTGGGCACACCTTCAACCTGCAGCACTGCGCCACAGATGTGGCACCTCCATCCACCATCACTGTTATAGTTCAGGACCCTCAGTAGAACTTGGTACCCTATGGGCTGCACCTGTGCGTCCATCTCCAGTCCTGTTTCCTCTTGTCTACCAGGACCCTGTGGATAGGATATGCCTAAAATGCATGTGCAAGCCAGTCCCTGTAACCCTGAGCTGCATTGTATGGTTCTCAGGATGGAGGGCTTCCAGCCTGCACCTGCCCCTTCCCATCTCAGCTCCTGTTGCTCATCTCCCTGCACTGTTGCTCTAGAACTTTCCATTCTTTCACATTCCCAGTCCAGCTGGTCCCCCTGCCTGGAGCACTCTCCCACCTCCAGTTCACACTTCACTGCCAGCTCAGAAGTTCAAAATCACAGCTGAGATACCCTCAGAAGCCTCACTGCCTTCAAGTTGCTACACAATTCTCAGTGTTTTCTCCCTCACTTACCAATAACCTCAAGCTGTTAGCAGGGTTCATCTATTCCTCTTTGCACAGCAGGCACATCACACACAGCAAGATGGCAAGTTCGAATGAGGATGGAGGAGTGACAAAGTCAGAATGGACTCTGGAGCACTCCCACTGCACCCCAACTCGAGAGAAATCACTGTCCTTCTGGGTCTGACCCTTAACCCATCAAAGGACACAGGGTTGATATTTTAATCTGTGGAAGGATGACTCCCAGCACAGCTTAGAAGGACTTGAAAAACTCCAGGCCTTCCAGTGACCAAGGACAAGGAAAATCTCACCTCTTTCCCAGGGGAGTCCGTGACACCTTGATAATTTTGGGTTCCCAATCCTTCCCACAATCCAATACCCTCAGCCAGGCTAGGCAAAACTTCCCTCACGAGAAATGCAGAGGACCCCAGAAAATCCCCAGGCCCCAGATGATCACACTGACTAAACTGCAGATCCTTGGCTGGGACCCCAAGAGACAGACCGGACACCGGCTAGGCCCCTCCCCCAACCCCTTCCCTCAACCCCTCCCTCTGCCTCTTTATTCGTCCCTCTCTCCCGTCTCCCCAACCTTCCGGCCACCCCACTCTCCTCCCTCCTCCAGTCTCTCCCCACCCTCCTTCCTCCTCCCGCGCTTCTTCCTCCTCCCTCTACGTTCCCTTCCCCGATCCTTTTCCCTCCTCCCTCCTCCATATCCTTCTCCCTCCCCTAGTCCCTCTCCGTTCTCTTTCCTCCTCCCACACCGTCCTCCCTCTCCCTAGTCCCTCCCCATCCTCCTCCCTCCTCCAGCCCCTCCCCTTCCCTTCTTCTCTCCCCTCCCCTCTCCGCCACCCCTCCCCTCTCCTCCCCTCCTCTCCCTTCCTGGGATCCCTGCGGCTCTCTCGCCTTGGGGCCCCGCGCTCTCCCGCCGTCCCGCCCCCGTCTTCCCCGTGCTGGGAGCAGAAGCGCGGTGCGGCCGGTGGAGCTCCTCTCTCCACGGGAAGGCCAGGCCCGGCGTACGGCGGGCAGCCATGGAGGCGGCGGCGCGGAGGCGGCAGGTCCCGGGAGCTGCGGGAGGCTCGGGCGCGCTGCAGGGCGTGTTGCCGGCCAGGTGGGCGCGGGGAGCGGGCTCGGCGCGGGGAGACCCGGGCAGCGGCGGGGCCTGTGCGGGTTGGGGCCCTAGGCTGCCCGCCGCTCTGGTCCTGGGGAGCCGCCCGGAGAGCCTCAGGGCCCCGCGGCGCTATCGATCGAGTTGGGGAGCCCTCGCTGTGTTCGGGGGCTCTCCGCGCACAACGCTGGGGAGACTCCGGGTCAGGGAAAGTGCAGGGGCCGCTGCCCCGAGATCACCCCGCTCACTCGGCCCCCAGCTCCTCTGAAGTCCCGGCCACTTCCAAGTTTTGCAGCGCCTCCTGCTCTTCGTCGAGAGGCTCAGTCCTGTCCCGGGAGCCCCAGAAGTGAGCCAGCCGGGGACAGAATGTGGGAGCCTTCCTTGCCGGGTGACTTCGGGGCTTATCTGGATGGGCGGGGCAGCCAGTGGCGCAGAACCCGCCTTTTCAAAATCTTTCCTTCTAGTCTGCCTCCATCCGCTTCACTCACCATTACGTTCCCTGCATTCCCTGCGTGCCGCAGATGTTGATTAAGCACCTGGGATGTGCCAAGCGCTGTACCCCGGAGCTGGGACTAGAACGTTCTAAGAGTCCAAAATTTGAGGAGGCTCTTAACTCCGATTGGGAACGATTCTGGAACCGAGAGCCTCTCCACATGTTGAACTGTACGCACCCTACTCCACCCCCTCACCCTAGATCCCGTCCTGTATAGCCAGTTAAAAATTGAGCCTTGATCCCTTCCATACCAAAGAGCCATGGAAGGGTTTTGAGCTCTAGTGTTCTTGAATCCGTTTTGGGAAGTTTGTGGTGTGATTTGGGATGATGGAAGAAGTTTGCTTTCGTTTGCTCCTGATGAACACATGGGTGGAGGAACTGCCGAGGGTTTCCTTTTTGACTTAGAAACCATTTGCTGAGCACCCGTACAGTCACACACCGTGTCCTGTTTCCACTTCTACAAGTGGTCATAAGGCTCAATGGCCTAGTGGCATGGTAGCCATGTTGGTTTGTGTAACTGCGTTCTCACGTTTGCACAGATTGGCCTGAGGGCACATTATTGAGCAACTTGTGGCTGTATACTTGAGAGCCCATTTGCTCATCTAACTCTTACTTCAGCCTTTGAGTTGATCATTTCACTGACAAGGAAACTGGACCATGTGAGCTATGGAGCCTGAGGCCCAGACTGTTTTACTGACCAGGAAGGGTCCTTGAGTTTAATTCCTCAGCATTCTGTAAGCTGTAAGCACCTTTATCATGTCTTGAGTTGTCCCAGGCACTGAGAGAATCAGAATTATCTTCTGTATTTGGAGCTGTCTGTGATGTTCTATATTTTATCGTGGATTAGCTGTAGACACTGAAAGTCAATATACAGTGTTGATATGATATAAGCCCTGTAAATATTGTTCCCTACAGAGCCAAGTAATGGATAACAGTTACATTTTATAGAGAACTCAAATCAACCTCTTTTTATAGTCTCCATTCATAGTTTTCTGTTTACTTGTCCCAGACAAGACTCCTTCCTTTTTCGCACCCCCAGGCTCACAGATGCTACTGTTGGGTATCACTCCCTGACTGTCATGGTGTCAGTTTCCCGTGTGGTAGACTTGGGAAGCTGTGGAGGAGGGCGAGAGCAAAGGCCCAGCTTGCGTCAGGTTACCTGGCATTGTGCTTTTATCATTGTTCTCAGCAGCAGTTGCTGGTTTTCCTGACCCAGGACTGGCCCAGCCTGGGGGCTCAGTGAGGGAAGTCTGTGGAGTCAGGAACTTGGGTCAGGCTTGAGGTTGCTCATCCTCAGGACAGGAGCTGGGAGGGTGGGGTAGGGGATGCCTTTACTCTGTGCAGTCTACTGCTACAGTCAGCATCTCAGGAGAAAACCAGTTGGATATTTATCAGGCTTCATTCCCAGACCCTGTCACTGCCCTTTTTTCTCCCTGCCCTAAGCTAGCCTGGACTCATAATAAGGCTTCCCATTGATTGAGGCACTTCTTCGGAAGTAGAGGAAGAAATTGTTACTGAGCCCCTAGTGTTGTCAGTAAGATCTAAAGGCATACACCAAGTGCCCCCCTCATCCCCATGGGCTTTCAGAATCCTTTTGTTCCTTGTTCTAAGTGTCCCAACTCTGTCAAGTTGGAGGTTTCAAAGTGAAACACTGAGGACTCTTTCATCCATCCAAATCATCACTGACAGCTTTTTTGAAGCCTGTCCTGATGGTCACTAAGTGGAAGGGGCAGCATGGGGGCTTTGTGGGGGGGGATACTGAGCCCTGAGTAGTCCTTGGAGTTAACTTTCTGAATATCTACCCAGTCTTAGACCTGGCCAGCTCTTCCCTTCCCTTTTGCCCCTAGTAGGCCATGCAGCGCCCTCTCTCCTCCAGGCCTTCCCTCCTGTTCATAAGTAGCTTTTCTATCTGGTTAAATGCACCCATCTCTTGTCTTAAAGCTCCCTTCCTTCCTGTAGGTTTTGCATACCATTTCTTGCTACACAGATCCCTCTCTAGTTTGACCTCCTCAAGTGCCACCTGGCTTAGACAGTAGTCAGAATGGTAAGCTGTTAAGAGTCTGTTTGAATTCTTTGCTGTCCAGAACTCCTGGGTTGGCAGCAACAAAAAGTCAGTGTGAGCTGTAGCACCCTCAGCAAAAGTGAAGGTATTGGTTATATGGCCAGACCACTGCCTGAGGATGTTTGCTGTGTGACACATGAACACTCTTGGTGTGCTCACACATCCCCATCCTTTCTCCAAAGCCACTTCATTCTCTTCTGGTGTCCCTGGAGGATGGAACCTTGGCCACAGGTAGTCCTTAGAGAGCCAGCCTCAGAAAGAAAGGAGCTCATGGTTCCCCAGCTCCTGGTCACCAAGCCCTCCCTGTAGCTAAAGAAGTACTCGCTCTCTTCCCAAAAGAAGCAGGAGTTAGAAAAGAGGTGACAGAAGTTTTCACAGCAGCTTCTTGCTGTGTGAGTGACAGTGGCTGAACTCTGGGCCTCAGCATCCTCATCTAGTCTATAAACATCAGGGGAATGGCTCCTGCGTCCGATGCCCCTGCCAGGGTTAGCTGAAGTGAATCAGTTAAAAGCTAGCATTGTAGAGTTAGTGATCACTGCTTGGTAGGGGACACTGAGTTGGGGAACAGAAAGACTTTGTGGATCTGGGGAAAACCTACTCTACCTGCCTTGCCTGAAGGACCATGGCGACCCCCCAAGGACTTGCTTCCTTGGTCTTGGGTTGCTCTACAGTCTGATGTTGATCATTTTTGAATTAGCTTCAGGAAATTATGGAAGTAATGACAGCATTGACAAGAAAACCAAGCTGCCTCTCAGCTATCATTTGCCATTAGGAAAGGATCAACAAACTGGTCGTGGTGGTTTTAAACTAGCCATTGCTCACTGGGTCTGAGTCAGGTGCTAGGCTGAGAACTCTGGAAGACAAGATCCATGCCACCCCAAGCCTATTGGGCAACACAGCATAATGAGACTCACCTCCATCATCTTAGTAGCTAGTGGTTGCTTGTCTCCAGAGGTATGCAAATGATAGGGATGCTGTGAGGATGACCTAGCTCTAATGGGAAAGTGGGAGAGTTGCGGAAACACTAACAGTCTCCCATTTTGGTTTGGCAGTACAGCTCAGCAGTTAAGGCACCTGTCACCAAGCCTGACAACCTGAGTTCGATCCCTAGTACCCATATGTTGGAAGGAAAGAACTGACTTGCACAAGTTGCCCTCTGACCTCCACACACATGTACACATTCAAAATGAATGTAGGGCTGGAGAGGTGGCTCAGTGGCTAAGAGCACTGGCTACTCTTGGAGAGGACCCAGGTCCAGGAGATCCAACACCCTCTTCTGGCCTCCACGGGCATTGTGTGCATGTGGTGTACTTACATACATGTAGGCAAAACACTCGTACACACAAAAATAAAATAATAAAACATAAATGTAAAAAAAATTAAAAGCAAAATCATGCAAAAATTAAAAGCAAAGATGTCCCTTCTTGAGGGCCTAGATGGAGGAACATATCTCCATCATGTGTCCTATGTTGCTGACTGGCCTGAGCTGGGGAGGAAACATTTGCTCCCTGTAGGGCTGGTGTGGCTTTGGGAGAAAAGAGAAGCTCCCGTGGGAAGTGGCACTGGCCCTCGTACTTCCATGCACCTGTGAACAGCAGGGGACCGATTGCTTTGTTTTTATCTTATTTTTGTTTGGTGTGTATGAGTGTTTTACCTACATGTATGTAAGTGCACCCATGTCATTCAAAGCCCATGGAGGCCAGAAAAGGGCGTTGGAGCCCCTGGAGCTGGAGTTACAGACAGTTGTCAGCCACCATGTGGGTGCTGGAATCCAACCTGAGTCCTCTGGAAGAGCAGCCAGTGCTCTTAACCGCTGAGCCATCTCTCCAGTCTCTGGACCAACTGCTTTGTGAGAAGGACAGACTGGGAAGATGTGGGTCAGGTGCTTCTTACCCTCTCACATCCTGGCTGCCTTCCTTCTTGGGTTCTAAATGTGAGTTAGTAACAAGAGAAATTCCTCTGTGGAGCTGAGGAGCCAGGTGGAAGGAGGCCTTCTCTCAGTCCCTATGGAAGGGCCCCATTGGTCCAACTCATGTCATATGCTCATCCCATGGACCAGTCATTATGGATACAACTATGGGATGGAGGTTAAAAGTATAAACTCTGGCCAGGTGTGGTGGTGCAAGTCTTTAATCTCAGCACTCAAGAAGCAGAGGCAGGTGAATCCCCATGAGTTTGAGGCCAACCTGGTCTACATAGTGAGTTGCAGGCCAGCTAGGGCTACATAGTGAGACTGTCTCAAAAAAACAAAACAACAAAAACCATAAAGTATGAAACTTAATCATTTAGGTTCCAGCCCTCAATGTGTGACCTGGGGCAAAGCCCTTAACCTGCTGGGTGCCTCCCCGCCGCCCCACTTTTAAAATAAGGATAAAATCCCAATGTCAAGGAGTTTCTGTGAAGATTAAAGGAATTAAATGAGTGTTGGGGTTGTAGGTAAGTGGTGGAGCATGCATTTAATTATATGCAAGGCTCTGGGTTCCATCCCTAATATCGCACAAATTAATTAAGGGCAGGAGAGATGGCTCAGCAGTTAAGAGCACCTACTGCTCTTGCAGAGAACCCGGGTAGGTTCCCAGCACCCATGTCAGGCAGCCCAACTGCCTGTAACTCCAGCTCCAGGGGATTCAGAGCCCTCTACTAGCACCTGCAGTCATGTGCACATATACATGTAGTTATACCTGGGCTATACTAAAGCATTCAGTGAAGGTTACCTGCCATCTGCTGCTGTTCTCCATCCACATGGCTTTCAGCTGTGCTTATGTGTTTTTCTTCATTTTATTTTCCCGTCATTTTATAATGGGGAAAGCTTTACAGTCATTAGTACACCCGTTGGACAGTTTCTCCCTGAATCTCAGGGAAGCTACACTCAGGGCAAGTGAAAGCCACTTCCCCTTGGCTGGACTCTGGGTTTCCTTTCCCTAGACAGTGTGTATGTTCCTGCCTTCAGGTCCCCAAAGCTCTTTGTGTTTATCTTGGGTCCATTGCAAAGGGGGAGGAGAGAAGAGCTGACCCCCTCATCTCATTCCTTCACAGACATGGCTCCATGAAGGCTGAGGAAACAGACCGCACGGCTCCCTTCCACCTCGACCTCTGGTTCTACTTTACACTGCAGAACTGGGTTCTGGACTTCGGCCGACCCATTGCCATGGTGAGTGTGAGGCTGGGCCCTGCCCAGTGCTGAGGAGACTGAATGTCACCAGTTTGCTGAGCCGTCTTAGCCGAATCACTTCTTAGAGTAAACCCAGAGGTGCATTCTGTAGCTGTGTTACTGACCAGTCGTGCAAATGAGAGGACCGGAGGGTTCCAGTGGTCATCCTGTGTCCCCTGTAGCCCATACCTTGAAATAGGTGAACTACTTTAACCATTTCTCTGAGCCAGACAGACAGGTTTGGGAAAGAGGCAGAGCGAATCCGCTGTTCTCCCCCGTTGTCTTGGGTTAGTATTATTCCTCTGGACGCGAATCCTATTGGCTGATTTTACATATAACTGAGGTGAAAGTAGGTTCTAGTTCAAAATTTGTAAGAACTAAAAATAAAACCACTTCTGAGTAGTGAAAGTAACATGTAGAAGTTATAAAGAAGACTTAGACCCTCCCATCCCTTTCCAGTCTCACTTCTGACAGTTTGGGGCACATCCTTCCACTCCTTTCTCTCTGTTCATATAAATGTGTGTGTGTGTGTGTGTGTGTGTGTGTGTGTGTGTGTATCCCTTTTTTTTCTAACCAAAATCAGATTTTATTTTATACCTTATTATGAAACTCAATTGCTTTACATTAGAATATATTCAGATGTCTTTCCATGGCAATATATGCAAATTGTTTCTATTAATGGCAACTTACTTAAGCTTCCATAGTAAAAATGTACTACAAGGGCTGGGGTGGTGGCACATGGCTGTAATCCTAGTACTCGAGAGGCTGAAACAGGAGGGTTACAAGTTCATGGCCAGTCAGAGCTACATAGTAAGACCCTGTCTCAAAACCAAACAAGCAAACAAAAAAATACTAAGGCTGGAGAGATGGCTTAGTAGTTAAGCACAGGCATCTGAACGTGTGGCATTCACTCACACAGATGTACACACATACACATAAATAAAAGTAAATTTTACAATACTATAATGTACTTAACAAGCCTGTTTATTCAAAGAGTGTTTCATTAAGCACATTTTGATATAGGTGAAGACACAGAGACAGACATAGACTGATGGAAACTGAGATTCTAGTGTCCTGGAGAAGCTAGTTTTATTCAGCTTTATTCCACTAAATCCAGTGGCTTTACTGGATTAAAAGAGCTAAACAGTGAAATCTTTGAAATGTTTGATCATCATGCTTGTTTTCAGTCGCCTGATAGTGAGACTCTGGTTTAGGGTATATGAAATGTTTTGATGTTTCTTGGGGTTTTCTTGCTGGCAAGGCCCTGATTCAAGGTAGAGCAGGAAAAGGACATTCCTATTGGAATCTGCTGGCCCTGTGCTGCCTCCTGTCTCAGGCGAGGTGGGGAAGGAAGAGTAGATCTTTTCTACTTCATTGCTAATATGCATTTGACCTGATCTGGAGGCTGTCTGTCTGCTCAGGAGATGAGTACTTTTCACAGGTGGGTGTGGTGGTCAGGACACCTTGTCCTTACTGCAAGGCATGGAGTGCCAGAACCCCGAGGGTCCATGTAGACCATCAGGCCAGCTCTCTTATGTTACAGAGGGGAAACTCAGGTTCACAGAGGGGAGGGACTTGCCAAGGTCTCCTGGCAAGGTGGAGGCACAGTTGAGTCCCAATGGAACTTCCTGGAACCCAGGAACATTTATTTGGGGCCAGTGAGAGAAGACACAAGCTAGGCCTTGGATTTCTGTCTCTACTGTGTGACTAAGGACAGTTCCCTTTACCATCTGTGAAACTCAGTTTCTCTCTTTGGATGTTCTTTGGGCCTGGGGCTGTCAAGAAGGTCCCTAGACCTAGAGATCACTAAAAGAGTCTAGCAGCCTGTCAGCCTGCCTTTGAGTATACATCCATCTTCTCTTCCTCAGCTTGTGTTCCCTCTCCAGTGGTTTCCTCTCAACAAGCCTAGCGTCGGCGACTACTTCCACATGGCCTACAACATCATCACGCCCTTCCTTCTGCTCAAGGTACAAACTGGCCCTATCCCTCCTGTTTATCATGCCTAGCAAGAAGCTGGTACCAGACCCTAGCACTGAGTCAGGCCTTTCCCCACCTTTGTCTAAGGAATGCTGGCTACAGTAGAGGCATGCATCAAGGGCCTGGGGCCAGGGAAGGATAGAGACACCCCCTGGAGTTACCCCAGTGGAGTATGCCAGAGGTGAAATGGGAGAAGTGGTCAGGCAAGAGGGATCTGTAGACAGGGTTATGTTTGGGGAGCTATAAAACATTTGGGGTTAGTGGCTGAGTGATGGGGTAGGGGGTCAGGGGGCTGAAAGAGCAGCAGTGGGGGCTGGAGATTAAAGTAATCTCTACATCATTTAAGGGAAGTCTATGCAATGTCAATAGCTGTCATACTATATTGTTTAAGAAAAAGCAACCAGAAGAAAAGTCTGTACACATTCAGTGCAGTTTATTTTAAATCAATTATCTTGGATCCATGGTTGGCTGTATTTGCAGACATAAAACCATAGATACAGAGGGTGGACTGTATTATAGCTATAATTATACCCATCATTTTGTTTATAAGAAAGGCATTTTAAGGGCCAGTGAGATGGCTCAGTGGGTAAAGGCCTGATGACCTGAGGTCGATCCCCACAACCTACATGATAGGAGAAAGCAAACTCCTAAAAGTTGTCCCCTGACCTCCATGTGTGTGCACATACACACACATAATAAAGAAATAAATGCTTTTTTTAAAACACCACAAGGAATTGGAGAGATGACTCAGTGGTTAAGAGCATTGGCTGCTCTTACAGAGGATCTGGGTTCAGTTCCTAGCCCCCACATGATGACTAACAGTTGTCAGTAACTCCAGTTCAGAGGATCCAGTGTTCTCTATTGGGTATTGTACGCATCTGGTGTACTTACATACATGCAGGCAAAACACTTGTACATGTAAAACAATTGAATTTTTGATTTTTTTAAAATTTATTTTTATGTATATGAGTGTCTTGTCTGCATGTAAGTACACCTGTGCATGCAATGCCCATGGATGTCAGAAGAGGGCATCAGATCCCCTGGAACTGGGGTTATGGACAGTTATTAGCTGCCACATGGGTGCTGGGAATTGAACCCAGGTCCTCTGGAACCCAGCCTGTGCTCTTCTGAGCCATCTCTCTAGCCCATAAGCATTTTTAACTAAAGGAACCCAGGTCCTCTGGAACCCAGCCTGTGCTCTTAACTTCTGAGCCATCTCTCCAGCCCATAAATATTTTTAAGTAAAACAAAACACCAAAAGAAAAGTTTTGAATTTCTAAAAACAGGAGAGGCATGACCTCAGAAGGTAGTTGCTGTAGTTGTAGTATACCCACCCCCATCTTGACTCCCCAACATTTTTGGTTTGCTGAGGACCAGGTGCTCAGAAATTAGGTCCCTGAAGCATGCTGGCCCAGCTACCCAGAGCACATGGGGTAATAGGAGGGTCTGGTGAGCAGTGAGCTGCATCCACCCCCCCGACACCCTGCCAGATTTATTTTCCTGGAGAGAAGGGCTATCGTTCAGCCGCCCCTGCTAGGCTCAGGGTTGACATGATCTGGAGTCGGGCTGTCCCTCTCAGAGACCCACTGTTGTAAGTAGGGAGGCAGAGGGTATCACAGTTGCAATGGAGGCAAGGGCATGCCATAGATCTTGTTCTGAACTGCAGCTCATCGAGCGGTCCCCCCGCACACTGCCACGCTCCGTGATCTATGTCAGCATCATCACTTTCATCATGGGAGCCAGCATCCACCTGGTAGGGGATTCTGTCAACCACCGCCTGCTCTTCAGTGGGTACCAGCATCATCTGTCCGTTCGTGAGAACCCCATCATCAAGAATCTCAAACCGGAGACTCTGGTGAGACTGCGTCCCCCTCTTACTCCATTGTGGCTGTCCTATGGGGGACCTGTCCTGGGAGGCTAAAGAGGAAAAGAAGAGTCTCGTGGCTGGCTTCAAACTCTATGTAGGCAAGGATGACCTCGAACTCCTGACCTTCTCTACTTCATCTCTTTGAGTGCTGGTATTACAGGCATACCTCATACCCAGTTTATGCTATCCTTAACATCAAACGTGCCTGCTAGGCAAGGATCCCACTAATTGAGCTACATTCCCAGCCCACCACACGTGATTTTATATTAAAGACATACAGCTAAGTCAGGGTATTGCCTGACCAAACTATATGACAAAGAAGTGCATCGGGGTGTGGGGAGACACATCTATAATCCCAGCACTCAAGGAGACAGACAGGATTACTGCAAGTTTAAGACCAGCCTGGTCTATATAGTGAGACCCTGAGTCTCCAAAAAAAGAAAGGAAGGAAAAGTGACCCAGTGACTGGCTTTCTGTGGCCCCTCTGGTAGCAGGCAAGGCCCTGGGGGAGGGATTGGATGGTAAAGGGGAACCCTGAGGGGAGAAGGGTGGCCAGTGGTGTTACTTGGGGTCCCAACTTCTACTCTCCACACTTGTGCCTCCTCAGATCGACTCCTTTGAGCTGCTTTACTACTATGATGAGTACCTGGGCCACTCCATGTGGTGAGTGAGGAGCTGCTCTATCCATCCCAGGGACCTGGCTCCAGGGACACAGGACAAGGCTCCTGAGACCCCAGGTCTCCAAGTATTGGGTGGAGCACCTGGAATGGCATTCCCTTCCTCTGGGAAGGTGCTATGAGTGGGACCCCTGATCAGCATTCCAGGGAGCCTTGGTTCTCTCTTCTCTTGGCCCTAAGGGGGACCTCATGCCGCCTCCTCCCTGGCTGCAGTTCCCACAGTGGCCACTAGGGGGAAGAGAACAGCTGTTGTCCACTCAGGCAGAGCCTTGGGTTGGGAAGGACATGGCCCTGGTAAACAATCCCCCCTAGATGATCAGTGATGTTGGGGTGGGGTAGGGTGGGGCATGTAGGAAACAGAAGAGCTAGCAAGGCCAAGTTTGCAGGCTATCTCAGAACTCCCAGGGGATCTCCCCTCTACCATCACCAACCACCCTCCCCCTGTCAGGAAGAAACCTCAGAAATGTGGGGTCAGTACCAGAGATTGAAGGCTCAAATGAGGAGGTTTCCTCTGCTGCCTTTCATCTTAAACTGATGAAAATAAATCCAGAGAGAAGAGCTGAAGGCAGCTGTCAGCTGGGAGATGGCAAGCTAGCCCTTTGTCTAGGTGTCTCATCCTGACGGAGCTAGCTCACTCACAGCCCCTGTTCCAAGCATGGGTGTTTTGGGGGGCTATTTGAGGTTGATGACAGTTGATATTCTTGGCTCGGAGCATCCTAGGGGACCTCTAAACAGGGCTCCTGCCACCTCTCCCTGAATTTGCCCAGGAACCTTCCCACTGAAGGTTGTGAAGAGAACAGGTCTGGGAACCAGCTGGCCAGGTCAGCAGAATAGGCAGGGGTGGGGGTCAGGTGTTACATGACAGAAAAGGACTCTATGTGTATGTGTGTGTGTGTGTGTGTATGTGTGTGTGTGTGTATGTGTGTGTACCTGTGTGTACACAGAAGGGAGAGAGGGAGCCCCTGTATGTGGAGCAGAGAAGCTATACCCTTGGATAAAGTGGGGATTGTGGGCTAAGTGTGAGTGATAGTTGCCAGGGCCCCTGTTCAGGCCTCTTAAGCTGTGGCCTCTCTGTTATAGGTACATCCCCTTCTTCCTCATCCTCTTCATGTACTTCAGCGGATGCTTTACAACCTCCAAAGCTGAGAGCCACATGCCAGGGCCTGCCCTGCTCCTGGTGGGGCCCAGTGGCCTGTACTACTGGTGAGTGGACATTGGCACTTAGGGTGGGGACAGGAGCAAAAGTACTGAGTGAGCCACTGCCGTAAACATCTACTCTTAAACAGTGCTGGAAGGCCAGGTGTGGAGCAGGCCTTTAATCCCAGCACTTGGAAGGCAGAGGCAGGTGAATCTCTGTGAATTTGAGGCCAGCCTGGTTTGTTATAGGGAGTTCCAGGCCACACAAGGCTACATAGTGAGACCCTGTATCAAAAACGTAAACCAAAACAAACTGTGGGTGTGGTAACGCATGCTTGTGATCCCGTCACTTGGGATGTGGAAGCAGGAGGATCAGGAGTACAAGACCAGCCTTGGCTACATAGTGAGTTTGAGGCCAGCTTAGGCTACATAAGATTCCATTTCAAAGAAAAAGAAAGAAGTCACATTTGACCACAGTCCTATAGTGTGGCCCCAGGTAAGACTGGCCATCTTCAGGCCCCTGCTTCCTCCTGAGTCTAGTGGGGTCTGTGCTTTGTGATGGTTTCTCTGCTATGAGGAAGCCCAGCTCTATGTAAGTAGGTGAGAGTGGGTAAGGCTCTCCCTCCCTGTCTGGGCCCCGCCTCCCAGCACCCCAGAGCCACCCTGAGGCCAGGAGTCTACCTCTAGCTTCTAGCCCTGTGGAGCCCCTGAGCCTCATTTTCCCCTTCTGTGAAATAGAGATGGTACCAGCCTATCCTCTGCTCAGAAGATGGAGAGAAAAAGGAGCTTTGCAAACTCTAAAGACCAAACAAGGACAGACCAGGAGGAAGTTCCCCCGCCCAGCACTACCTCTCTTGTCTATTTGTCCCCCCAGGTCCCTCTCCCCAGCACAGACTCCCCACCCAGGCCTCAGTTAGACTCTTACCTTCCCAACATTCCACACACACACACACACACACACACACACACACACACACCCCACCCCCCATGAGATTGTAGGACGGACCCAGCAGGACTGGGCCTTTCTCTGGGAGGTCTTCCACATGAAAAAGGGCCCTTCCTTCTCTGGGCCATCTCCAGGGACTGCCTTTCCTGTAAGAGGGTCCACCAGGGCTACCATTTATGCCAGAAAGAGGCTGGACCTGAGCATGCTCACTACCAAGGTCTTACCCTTGGCATGCTGATGCAGTGTGGGTGGCTCCACAGCAGCTGCCGCCATTTGCTGAGCAATACACTTCCAAGTGAGAGATGCACACAGCCCTTGTCGGTCACTAGAGAGATGTTTGTGTTTCCTTCATAAGGAGAAACAACCTCTAAGATGTCACATCAATTTCTCCAAGATCTCAGGCCACTGGGTTGTAGAGCTAGTGTTCCTGGAGTAAATGGGTGGGCATCAGGACCCACCCTAGAGGCAGAGAGATAAACAGATAACCTTGCTGAATCCTACCAAGTGCCACCCAAGTGTGAGCTTGTGCTACGTACTGCGTGGGGTGCAGCATCTATGGGAGATCAGACAGTGGCCCAGCCTCCAAGGGGATAGCAGTGACAGCCTCTGTATATTGGGACTATGTTTCTAAACTCAAATGCCTACAGAAACCAAGCGAGGCCAGAGGGAATGTGGGAATGGTGGCCAAGCATCAGTGTTCACTTTCTCCTCCAGAGACTATTTTTGTCATGTCGAAATATTCTGATGTGATTCAATAAGCCAGAAATCCCTATTTCAAGATAGTCTGTTACACTGTTAGGTAACTGAAACACCCAAAACAAACAATATATTTTTAAACTTCTTCAAGCCAAAGTGATGTGCTGCCTGTGGACTGTGGTTTAGGCTGGCCTGCTCACTAGGTGAGCTGTTCTGACTGACCTGGAGGACAGCCTGGCACCAGCTCCAGAGAGCCATGCTGCGCATGTTGGGGTTGCCATGGCACCCACTTACCTCCACGCCTGATCTCCCTTTCCAGGTACCTGGTCACCGAGGGTCAGATCTTCATTCTCTTCATCTTCACCTTCTTCGCCATGCTGGCCCTCGTCCTGCACCAGAAGCGCAGGCACCTCTTCCTGGACAGCAATGGCCTCTTCCTCTTCTCTTCTTTTGCCCTCACCCTCTCCTTGGTGGCTCTGTGGGTCGCCTGGCTGTGGAATGATCCTGTGCTCAGGAAGAAGTATCCTGGCGTCATCTATGTCCCTGAGCCCTGGGCCTTCTACACTCTCCACGTCAGTAGTCAGCACTGAAGCTCACTGAGGGCAATGGACCTTGGAGGATATTTGCTTGTGGGTTCTCGAGTGTATTGGTGCACATACGTGCACAGTGTGAGGACGTGGGGTATGCATGGCAGAGAGCATCTTTGAAAGACTCAACTATTTCAGTCAAGTTTTTGTTTGCTTTGGATTACAGGATGGAATTTAGTTTAGGGATGCCTGTCAAGTCCAGGATTCAGGCACCTGCACTTTATTACTACGGGGAATCCCCAAATATATTCCCAACTCTCAGGACCAAGGTGGCCTTACTGAGATTTCCTGTGGCCATGCAGGAGAGGGCTGGGTAAGGAGAAGCAGGAAGAGACTCTGCCACCCACTCAGCACCTAGCTCACCCTGAAGTCCCCTCTCTAAGCCTCATGTGCACTAGATGGTCCCATGTGGCTCCATAGACTGGGGTTGCTGATTCCCTTGAGGCAACCTCAGCTTAGACAAGTGGTTCTGTCCTGTCACTGCCTAGGAGGAATGTGTCCCACCCAGCCTCTGGCCCAGCCTCAGACCCCACCCACATGGTGCTGAGCACCCACACTCCAGGGAACAGAGGTCCAGCTCAGATCGCTGCTAGTTAAGCTCTCAGAGCCTGCCTGAGGTTTTGAGCCGTACCGAAGGCAGAATTCTCAAGCCCTTGCTCTGTGGATTCCCTGAGCCCCATTGTAGGGGTGGGGGACACTGCAAGGCTCCCTCAAAACACCTCATCTCCACCTGAATCTTACCACCTGCCTGGTGCCTTTGCTCCTAGCATGGTGGCCCCTGCCTCACCCTCCCTGAAGCCAGCCCTCTCCCAGGCCTCAGATCCAGGCCCCTCGGTATAAGACACTGTCACCTCATCTTGCACCCGGCATTGGCCTCTTGTACTGTGCATCTTAGGGACGTTCCTGCCTTGTGTTGCTCTGTGTCTCCTCTTGTGCTCACAGGGAACCCCAGGCCTCAGGTTTTCCTCTTACGTTGAGGTTCCCATGTGCCAGACCTGGTAATAGGTCTGAATAAAGGCTGGTGTGGCTACTTAGAGCTTTGGGAGTGTTGTGGGAAGGCAGAAGGGAGTTCTGGAATGAGGGAGAAACTAGTTGGTCTGGGGCCCAGGCTGGGTTGTGAGGCTTGCTCTAGTATTAACCCTGAACAGTTCCCAGAGGCCCTCTGAGCCTCCATCTGTCCACTGGTCCTGCCAACCACTTATAGGCCCCTCTGGCTGTGGGCAAGAAAAGCCTTTTCCTCCTAGTCAGTACAGGACTTCTCAGAAGAGCCTGGGCCAGTGGGGGGCAGTAGAGCATCTCCAGGCTTGTACCCAGGAGGGTGTCCCACCCCTCAATCCCTCTGCTACCTTCTGGTAGGCAGTGAGAGGCTGATTTGTATGAGGTGGTATTTAGCCTTAGGCAGGTCAGCTAAGCTCTTGAAGCTCTGGGTATCCAAAGGCTGATGTAACAAGACATGGAGTGGGAAACATGGTGCCATCCATACGCCTGTGCTGTCCCCTCAGCTGCCCAGCATGTTCCTACCTCCAGGGCACTGCTTTTTTCAGGACTGTCATCAGATGGTCTTAACGCTCCTTCATAAGCAGAGGTGTGCCCGGTTTGTGGGGCTTGAAGACTACAATTTGGAGAGAACTCAGTAAAACTTATATAGGCCAGAGGACAACCTTGGATGTCCTTTCTTAGGAATTTATTTTTTATTATGTGCTTTGTTTTTTTTTTTGTTTTTTTTTTTTTAAGACAGGGTCTCCCTATAGCCCCAGCCGGCCTGGAACCTACTATGTAGAACAAACTGACCTCAATCTCACAGAGATTTACCTGCCTCTGCCTCCCAAGTGCTGAAATTATAAGCATGCACCACCATGCCCAGGAGGACCTTATTTTTGAGACAGTATCTCATTGGTTTAGAGCTTCCTCATTAGGTGAGGCTGGCTGGCCAGTGAACTCCAGGGATCCTACTGTCTTCTCTCCTCAGTGCTGGGATTACGTATGCATGCCATCATACCTGACTTTGCAAGCGATGGGGGGTATGCATGTGCCAGTGGGGGCTAGAAGAGGGCATCAGATCCCCTGGAACTGGAGTAACTGGTGGCTGTGAACTGCCCACTATAGGTACTTGGAATGGGTCCTCTGCAAGATCTGTATGCATTCCAAACCTCTGAGCCATCTCTTCAGCCCTACAGCTGGCTTTTCTTTTATGCGGGTCAAACTCAGGTCCTTGTGCTTGCAAGGCAAGCACTTTACCAAATGAGCCATTTCCCAAGCTCCAAGAAAACATTTGATAGGGACCCGGAGAGATGGCTCAGCAGTTAAGGGCACTAGATGTTCTTATAGAGGAACCAGGTTCAGTTCCCAGCACCCACATGGAATCCAACATCTATCCATGACTCCAGCTCCAGGGGATCTGACGCCTCTTCTGGCTCCTGTGAGCTTTGTATGCACATGGTGCATATATATGCAAAACATTCATGCACAAAGTTTTTTTTAATATTTTATTTTATATGTATGCATGTATTGCCTGCATGTAGGTAAGTACACCTGTGTCATGCAATGCCCGCATAGGACAGAAGAGACTATCAGATCCCCTGGAACTGGAGTTATAGTTGTTAGCTGCCATATTGGTGCTGGGATTCGAACCAGCGTCTTCTGCAAGAACAGTCAGTGTTTTTAACTGCTGTGCTCTCTCTCCAGCCCCCCATACACAAAGTTTTAAAAAAATTCGCCAGAAGCCAGGCATGGTGGCACACGCCTATAGTCCCAGCACTTGGGAGGCAGAGGCAGGCAGATCTCTCTGAATTCAAGGCCAGCCTGGTCTACATAGAGAGCTCCAGGACAGCTGGGGCTACAGAGAAACCCTGTTTCAAAAAGAAATTCATCAGAATGAATATTGAAATATCAAGTTCTTGGAAACTTGGGCAGTCATGTCCCTCTTGATAGAAATCTTGGGCAGTTGGTTGGGGAAGTCTGTGGAAAGCTGTCCTGACGGAAGTTGCTAGCTTCATCATCTAGAAACCAGCACACTTCTAGGAAACTGGCTCCCAGAATGCATCAGGATGTGGAAATCAGAAGGAATAAGAAGCAAGCCCTGTAGGTCATTCTGACATGGGCTGCTTTGGGGAACACCACTCCAGGCTGTGGGTACTCCAAATGTGCTCCAGGCCCACAGCTACCGCTTCCTCTGGGTGCTTAGGAACAGGCATCTTGGTCCTTAGGCTGCACTATTGGGATCCGTGAGATTCCAAACACCTTGCCCAGGCAACAGTGCTCAGCTCATATGACTGCTAGCTCAGCTGTGATGGTACCGTGAATGTGGAGGCTGAGAGCAGCAAGTATTTATCTGCCCAGTTCTGAGTGTGAGGTGTTGGCATAACTGTGTTTTCACTGGCCCTAGGGAATTCTCTGCCACTTCTAGCATCTGGCAGGTCACAAGCCATCCCTGGTGTTCCTGGGCTGCAGGCCCATCAGTCATGGTCCTTGTGTTGCTATCTGAATTCCCCTCCTTGGGTTAAGACCTTTCCTAAATGATTTCATCTCAATTCAGTTACATCCACAGACCCTATTTTCAGATGAGGTCCCCTAGACTAGGTGGGTATGAATTTTAGAGACACTATTTAGCCCAGTAGAGGCCTGAAGTGAAAACGGGGCACACAGGATGGGTGGGGAGATCCAAAGACCACTTTGAGGGCCACTTCTTGGCCTTCACACCTCACCAGCAGGTGCACATGGGCTGCGAAGTTTGAAGACTCAAACTCCTCTAGGAGCCCCACAGCTGCCCTGTCAGCCCCCGGTTGTGTGGGGAGGGGCTGAGTCCCTTGTGAGGAGAGCTTGGCTCAAGAACACGGTACCACAAGGAGTTAGGAGGAAGAGTCTGCTACCCTAGAGAGAGCAGGAGTTGGTGGCAGGGCTGTGGCTAGGAGCCTAGAGTTCACAGCAAAACTTTTTTCTGAGATGGTCTCAGCTAGGTGTGGTAGCACACTTTTTTTTTTTTTTTTTTTTTTTTTTTTTTTTTTTTTTTGTCTTTTTGAGATGGGATCTCTAGCCCCAGCTGGCCTGGAACTCACTATGTAGACCAGGCTGGCCTTGAACTCATCCTCCTGCCTCTGCCTCCCAAGTGGGATTAAAGGTATGTGCCACCACACTCAGCTAGTAGCACACATCTTAAATCCCAACATGCAGAGGCAGGTGGATCTCTATGTAGCAAGCTCCAGGCCAGGGAGGGCTACATAGCGAAATAGTGAAACCCTGTCAAGACAGACGGAGACAGAGTCTCTTGTAGCTCACTCTGTAGACCAGGGTGACATTGGACTTCTGATGCTCCTCCATCTTCCTACCTAATGCTGGGGTTACAGATGCTATGCCTGGTTTTATGTGGTACTAGGGTTTGAACCCAGGACTTGTATGCTAGGCAAGGGCTCTATCAACTGAACTACATCCTGAACCACCATCCCATTTCACACACAAAAAGCTAAGTATTCCCAAAGGCTCTGCTGGGACCCTGGCTGGTGGGTGGGGAGGAGGGGAGGTGCTGCTCCTTGCCTGAAGCTCCTATGGGGATCCAGAGTGTGGTGAAAGATGGAAGGGACCCAGTGGAAGCCACAGTGATGCTCAGGGGAGGTGCCAGCCTCTAGCCAGGAGGGCCAAGTCATAAGAATAAAATGAATAAGCTCAGCCCCAAGTGGTATCAGGAGTTTTTCTGTTTACAAAGAGGGCAACATGCACACTGAGTACCAGGCAGCTTGGGGAGGCTTGTACCATGGGCCCACATGTAGCCACAGCCCTAAAGCAGGTGTTCTTGGTCAGCCAAGACATGAGACCCTCCTTGTCACCTATACATAGGAGCTGGGCATGGTGGTATATTCCTGACACATACTTGGGAAGTTGAGGTAATAGGATCAAGAGTTCAAGGTTGGGGCTGGAGAGATGGCACAGTAGTTAAGAACACTGACTGCTCTTCCAGAAGACCCAGGTTTGGTTCCCAGCACCCACATGGCAGTTAACAACCATCTGTAACTCCAGTTCCAGGGGATCCGATGCCCTCTTCTGGCTTCTGCCAACATTGTATAATGTCTGTACACTTACATGCAGACAAAACACTCATACCCATAAAATAATTTACCAAAAAGGTCATCCTTAGTTATACAGTGAGTATGAGGCCAAGTTGGGTTATGTGAGATCCTGTAACAAAAAAACAGAAAATGACTTAAATTGTGTGTGTGTGTGTGTGTGTGTGTGTGTGTGTGTGTGTGATGGGATGGCAGCTTAGGATGTAGCTCAGCTGATAGAACACCTGCTTAGCATGTAAGAAGCCCTGGATTCGATCCCCAACATCACATAAAGCAGACATAGTGGTACACACCTGTAACCTCAGCAGAAGATGGAGGATGGAGGGAGAAGGATCCGAAGTTTAAATGCCACCCTGGGCTACATAGTTCAAAGCCAGCTGGGGTTACAAGAGACCCTGTGGTAGCCATCAGGCAAGCCAAAATGAGTGCATACCAGTATACCCACAAGCTATGGAAGAAGCAGCAGTCTGATGGGATGCACTTTCTTCTGGGGGTCCACTGCTGGCAGTACCACCAGCTCTTCGTGCTCCACAGGGCTCCCCGCTGCACCCCACCAGGTAAAGTGTATAGACTGAAATATAAGGCCAAACCAAGTGTCATATGCAGGATTTTTTTGCTCACAGTGGTGGCCATAGACACTCAGTTCTAAGAGTGCAACTTATGGCAAGCCTGTCTGACACGGTGCTAAATGGCTGGAGATCAGAGCTGGACCCCACTGTGGGGCTTTGCCTGTCTGACACGGTGCTAAATGGCTGGAGATCAGAGCTGGACCCCACTGTGGGGCTTTGAGAGCCCTGAATTGTTTCTAGGTTAAAGACCCACATGTGAATTCTTTGAGGTCCTCATTGATCCATTCCATAAAGCTATCAGAACAAATCCTGACACCCAGTGGATCTCTGAATCCATCTTCAAGCACAGGGAGAAGTGTGAACTGGCATCTGCTGGTCACACAAGTCATGACCTCAGAAGGAGTGCAAGTTCCGACACTATTGGTTCTCACTGTGCTGTGGAGAAGGTGCGGTACTCTCCAGCTCTGTTAACAACAGCATAAGTAATGTTTCTAAAATTCACACCCAATATGGGGCTGGAGAGATGGCTCAGCAGTTAAGAACATGTACTGCTCTTGCAAAGGACCCAGTTTCAATTCCCACCATCCCCAGAGCAGCTCACAACTGTCCTTAACTCCAGTTCCAAGGGGTATGATGGTATGATCCCTCTTTTGGCCTCCACAGGCATTGCATATCATGGGTGTACTTCTATACATGCACACAAAACACTCAAAAATAGCTTTTTTTTTTTTTTTGTCTTTTTGAGACAGTGTCTCCCTGTAGCCCTAGCTGGCCTGGAACTCACTATATAGACCAGGCTGGCCTTGAACTCACAGAGATCCGCCTGCCTCTGCCTCCCAAGTGCTGGGATTAAAGGCATGCACCACCATGCCTGGCATAACAAATCTTTTTTAAAAAATTCATACTCAAACAATTTAGGACAGTCAATGCAAAATATGAAAGCAAATGAAACAAAAATAATTATAAATCCAGAGGGGGTTAATGGGTGTCAGGGTGCTGTTAGAGCACATAGCTCACCCTATCACACACTGACATAAATCAGGAAAATGTCTAACATGTCTTTGGGGCCTCGGCTCTGTGCCCTCTGGTCAAAGTTCTGCTTCCCTCACTTCCTTCTCCCAAGGCAGCCTTCATCATGACCACCACATCCACCCCACAGGGAAGAGTCATCAGACCCTCAAAATTCTTGTCTAAAAGCAGGTCTAAAGAGGTGACTCGGGGCTGGAGAGATGGCTTACTGGTTAAGAGCACTGACTGCTCTTGCAGAGGACCCAAGTTCAATTCCCAGCACCCACATGGCAGCTACAAACTGTCCTTAACTCCAGTTCTAGGGGAATCCGAAGCCCTCTTCTGACTTCCGTGGCATTGCATGACATGGGTGCACTTACATACGTGCAGGCAATGCACTCATACACATAAAAAAAAAAAAAAAAGGTGACTCGGGAGACAAGTATTTTCCATAAGGAGGTGATCAAGACAGGAGGTCCCATGTGTCCAGGTGCCTTCATACTAGTTAACAGGAAGCCTCTCTTCCTCTGACAGCTGCAGCCTCTTGCCAGCCCTCACCAGCCCATCATGTAGTGCTCAGCCTGTGTGATTGCTGCACACCATGACTGACAACTGGGCCAGCCTGGATTTAAAGCCCTACAGGCAAACCGGCCACAAGGTGGGGACAAGGCAAAGGGGACCTCCAGACCAGACAGAACCTACTCATACCTAGAGCCTAGCAGCAGTTCTGCGAGCTATCTCTGAATTCCCCAATCCCTACTCTGTCATTCTGAGGTGTGTGTGTGTGGAGGGACCATCTGAGGAATCCCAGAGTAGGAGGGGAAGGAAGTGGAGAAGGAATTTCCAGCTAGGAGAAACTCTAAGCTGCTGGCTCTAGGACTAGAGACCCAGCCCCAGACCCCCAGAGTCCTCAGGAGGGAGAGCTGGCTGTGCTGGTCCCTGGATTTTCTCACCAGCCTGTAATGAGACTGGTGAGGAAACTGAGACACAAAGGTAAGGTAATGAGACTCCGGTGAGGAAGGAGTAGAATCCCAGGCTGAAGGACAGCAATGGGACTTCTGTGGGGCAGCCCCCAAGGCTGTGCAGGAAGTGTCTCTGAACTGAGCCATCTCAGTCTGGCTCTGCTCCTCCTGGTGAAACTGTAGTGTCTGGCTCCGGAAAGGAGTTTTTCAGTGTCCTAGTCTAGCCCCAGGAGAGAGAAAAGGGCCCCAAGACTGGCCTAGACCAATACAGAGTCAGCCCCACCCCAGGGCCCACTTTCTGTTACCCACTGGCCCCTTTTCAGAGTCTAGACTCCCAGGGAGGAACATGGGCATTTGTCTAGTTGCTGCAGAGCCTCAGTCTCTGGAAGCAAAGACCCATGCCCTGTATGCGTTTTGTAGCTGGTTTCCTCAAAATCAACCTGTGCTGACTGGAATGGCATCCCCTGTGCAAGGGGAGCTGGAATCTGACCCTGATGGCGTTGAGCCCTATCTCTATGGTAGCAGAGGATTTATTACCCGGGCCTCCACCCAGCCTGGTGGACTTTCAACTTGAAGCCAGTAGAAAAGGAAGCAAACTGTTCTAGGAGCATCCGGTGAGCTACGATGGTAAGTGAGAGGCTGAGCCAGAGGTGGGTGGAAAGGGCCCCTGCTGAAGCCCTCCCTGACTGTTCTCTCTCTGCTGCAGGCCAAGTTCCTTTCCCAGGACCAAATTAATGGTAGGTTGGGTTTGTTCTTTAATTAGTAACTCCTCGAAAAATGTGGGTCTCATTAAACAATTTGCTTTACTCATTACTGTTGTGGGGAAGGAAGGCCTGAGTGGGGAGCTGGCCCTCCCACAGGCTCTGGGCCAGCTACTGTGGGGCTGCTGGCTAGCAGTGGTTGGAGGTGACCGTCCAAGGTGGGACTGCTGACTTTGAATGGCTTGCTATGTGTCAGCATGGTTTTCAAGCCAAGTCACAGAAGACGGCTTGCCTGGCTTCTTAGAGGCTGGAAATGGGTCTGGTGGGAGGCAGGTGAAGGTTAGAGAGAGACCATTAACAGAGTAGCTGGGGGCAGGAGACAGGGAGAGGGACTTTGTAGTCAGTGCAGACAGGGAACAGAGCCCGGGGCTGCATCCTTTTGTCTTTGTGGGTCTCAGTCTCTGTAAAACAGGGGTTCAGCTGGTATCCCTCTGTCTAGTTTCATGTGAGCATTTTCTTTTCTGGACCTTGCAGATCAGACCAGTTTTCCCAAGACCAGAAAGACAGAATTGAGTTACATAGAACTTGACCCAGAACTGGTCAGGAGTCTGGTGGTTGAGCACCTGGCAAGACAGGCACAGTTAAGAGTCTTTGAGATACAACCAGCTGTTCCTGGAGGCTGTGCCCCAGAAGCTGCCCCAACATAGAATGGCAACAGACCTGATAGTCCACTCCCAGCTGCTGAAATGACACCTTGTCAGGGAGATAAAACTTGGGCACCTGGGACCTATGAAGCCCTGTGACCCAGAACAGTGTCCAGCAGGCCCCGGAAGTGGCTTCTGGTTACCCAGCCAGGGATCCCAGAGTTATAAATGGTCAGAGCTTGTGGCAGGGGTTGGGAGATTATGGGCTCAAGTGGGCACCTCTAGGACCCTTAACTCCTTACCCCCTAAATCAAGGCCAAGATCAGAGTGGACTGGTCAGGGAACTTTAAAGCACTGAGCTTAGGCCAGGGGCCCCTCTGGCTGGCCCACGTTTAAAGGCAAGGGCTAGAGGTGGCTCAGTGCTTAAGAGAGCTTACTGCTCTTGAAGAGGACCTGAATTCAATTCCCAACACCTAGATTGGGAAACTCACAACCACCTGTAACTCCAGCTCCAGGGGGATCCAATGCCTCTGGCGTCTGCAGGCACCTGCACTCACATACACATACATAAACATAATTAAAAATTTAAAAATTAAATCTTTAAAGGTGGACCTAGGCTGGAGGCCAGCTGTCAGTCTTAGTAATCCCCCACCATACCTGGACATAATGCTTGCTGTCCTGTCCCAGGGCTTCTGAAGCTCCCAGAGAGGAAGAAGGCAATTTCTCTTTGTATCCCAGTGTCTGACACCAAGAAAGTGACCACTAATCTTTAGTGAATGAAGCCCTGGACCAGGATGGGAGAAGAGAAGACACTTGCCTTTGAGTTTAAGGAGGCCCAATGGTGCACCTTACCAGGCCACTGTGAGCTGGGGACAGAAGAGAGAATGTCATTACATGCTGGACACAGGGCACACGAGGTGTGCTTTGAGGGATTTTATAAGCAGATTATTAAAACCAGGCATTATGAAACACAGAAGGCTCAAACTGTCTAGTTCATGTGGAATGCTAAGATGGCCCTGCTGCAATCAGAGCATTGAAGTTTTAAAAGAAGTTTCAGTTTAGGGGCTGAGGATGTGGATCAGTTTGTAGAGTGCTTGCCTAGCATGCCTGAGGATCTGGGTTCAATCTCTAGTACCATATAAACTGAGCTTGGTGGCACATGCCTGTAATTCTAGCACTCAGGGGGCAAAGGCAGGAGAATCAGAAATTCAGGGTCACCTTCGGCTACATATGGAGGTCAAGGCCAGCCTGGGCTACATGACACCCTAGAAAGGAAGGAAGGAAGAAAGGAAGAAAGGAAGGAAAGAAAGAAGGTTCAGCTTAGTGAATAATTTATACCAGGGTAAAAAATAGATTATCAGTGGGTCACTTATCAGATTTAATGGTAATACTATCCTAGTTCATTGGAAAAAGAACTATATTTTTTGTTGAATGGCAACTGTAGGTTAACCAAGAGCTAGCAAAAGTTGTTTGTGATGATCAGTTGGCTAGACAGAATTTATAATAAAGAACCTTGCACGTTTTATTATGTGTGAATTGTGAACTGCATATTCTTCATATCTGTGAGGTGAATATTCATGAATGTATTGGAGTCTGCATTACCCATTCCTCTGCTTGTCACCTGTCATCTCTGTATGAGGTGTGAGGCCTGGAGAAGGTCTTTTTCTTGGTTGGGGTATTTTCATTTTTCAAGGGAAGACCTAAAAGACAGGGTCTCCCTGTAGCCCTGGAACTCACTATGTAGACCAGGCTGGCCTTGAACTCACAGAGCTCCACCTGCCTCTGCCTCCCAAGTGCTGGGATTAAAAGTGTGTGCCACCATGCCCAGCTAGATTTATTTATATTTACTTATGTGTATGTGCCTACATGTGTATATGTGCACATGAGTATGAGGGCAGCTTACCTCGACAGAGGGAGAATCTCCATCAGCAGAGCTGGGGCCTTTCCAAGCTCAGGGCCAGCTTTCCTTTGCCTCCAAGGATGCAGTGAAGAGCCGAGGCAGTTCTGCCAGTGTACAACTGCACGTGGAGAAAAGAGGGTTCTGCATGGGGGAAGGAAGGGTTGCTGGGACAGTTGCAGACTCTGCTTTGCCTAGGCATACTTCCCAGCAGATCCCCATAAGGTCTTTAAAAACAGGACCAGGAGCTGTCAGAGGACAGCTCAAGAGTTCAGTAGCTGGGTTCCAAGGCTGGACCATGTACTCAGAAGTACTTGCAGCTGAAGCAATAATAAACCTCTCATAGGAGAGCATTGGAGGGCTGCCAGGCCCTCCTGGAGGGCTGCTCCTCACAGGAATCTGCGGGCAGAGGCAGGACTGTCTCTGTGTCATTTTTGTGACAGTCCTTAGGAGTCCGGCAGCCCTGCTGTGGGCTTCCTTCTTCCTGGCGACCCTGGACGAGAGCTTTTGGGTGGCTTTTAAGGAACAGAGGACAGGAGGAAAGGAGGGAGTGGCGTGGCCAGAAAAAAACTTAGAACACCTGGTTAAATTTGAATTGCAGATAAGCACTCATAAGGGTATTTGTTTGTTTGTTTGTTTGTTTTGTCTTTTGAGACAGAGTCTCCCTGTAGCCTCAGCTGGCCTGGAGTTGGATATGTAGACCACAGTGGCCTTGAACTCACTTGCCTCTGCCTTCTGAAGGCTAGGACTAAAGGTGTGCGCCACCATGCCCAGCTTAAGATTTTATTTTTATTTTGAGATTTTTATGTGTATGAGTGTTTTGCCTACATGTAAGTGCACTCGTTCTGTAAAGTGCCAAAGATGCAAGAAGAGGCATCAGAGCCCCTGGGACTAGAGTTAAGGATGGTTGTCAGCCGTGAGCTACCATGTGGGTGCTAGGAATCAAACCCCGATCCTCTGCAGGAGCAGCCAGTACTTGACTGCTGAGCCATCTCTCCAGCCACTATTTTTATTTTGAAATTATGTACATGAGTATTGTATCTATGAGTTCAAGTGCCTGAGGAAGCCAGAAAAGGATGTTGGATCCTCTGCAGTGGGAGTTACAGGTGGTTGTGAGCCACCCCACATGAGTATTGGGAACTGAACTCAGGTCCTCTGCAAGAGCAGTATGACCTCTTAACCACTAAACCCCACATACTCTTTTTAGTGGAAGTAAATCCATATCAAATTTGGAACATGGCTTAGTAATGCTTATACTAAAAATTGTTTCTTGCAATTCTAGTTAATTTCATAGTTTTATTTTTTCTTTTTAATTTTTAAATTATATTTTATTACATTTGTCCATTTATTATGTGTCCATGTGGAGGTCAGAGGACAACTTGCAGGAATTGGTTTTTTCTTTATACTATATGGATTCAGGTATTAAATTCAGGTTGTCAGCCTTGGCAGCAAGCACTTTTACCCACTGAGCCATCTCCAGCCTGCCCTCCTTTTTTTTTGGTTTCTGTTTTTTGTTTTTTAGGTTTCTTTTTCTTTTCTTTTCTTTTGTGACAGGGTCTCCTTGTAGTCCCAGCTAACCTGGAGCTCACTATATAGACCAGGCTGACTTTGATCTCACAAGAGACATCTGCCTGCCTCTGCCTCCTGAGTGTTGGGATCAAAGGTGTGCACCTTCCCTTTTTTACTTTTCTTTTCTTTTTTTTGAGGGGGGACAAAGTCTCATATAGCCCAGCTTCCAATTCATTACATAGCAGAGAATGACCTTGAATTCCTGAGCTTCCTTCCTTCACCTCCCAAGTGTTAGGATTTACAGACAGGTGCCACCACACAGTTTTTTGGTGGGTGCTACCTATTAAACCCAGGGCTTTGTGTATGCTAAGCAAGCATTCTACCAACTGAGCCCTAACCCCAGCCTCATAGTTTTATTTGCTGTATTTGGCAACCTGGTGTTGGGGAAGAGAACAGGGAGGAGAGCTCAATGTTAGAGTGCTTGCTCCATATGCATAAGGTCCTAGGTTCATCCCCAGCATGGGGTAGGGGATGGAACGGGGAATGGATAAGTGTAAGGAAGAGGAAGAGGGGGCAGTGGTGGAGGATGACTGCCAGCTTCTGACACCTCTTCTGATTGTGTACAGAGTACAGGGAATGCTTCTCCCTGTATGACAAGCAGCAAAGGGGGAAGATTAAGGCCACGGATCTCCTGGTGTCCATGAGGTGCCTGGGGACCAGCCCAACACCGGGGGAAGTGCAGCGTCACCTGCAGACTCATGGAATAGGTGAGAGGGCTGGCTGGGCAGGTTTGGGGAGCGCCCCCCCCCCGCCCCCCGCAGCCAGGCAGGAGCTGACAGTGGAGGTGGAGAAAATGCAAAAAACTGAGGTGCTGGTGGTATTGCACCTCCCTGGGACTAAACGATAAAGGTACCTGGCCTAGGATACTGTACTTCATCCACACTGCAGCAAGTGACACCAATGCCCACAGGGGACCCTGGTCTGGGCATTCCACCAAGTCCATCACAGCCCATAGGAAAGCTTGCTAACAGTGAGCCCAGTGGGTCTTTTGTTTGTTTGTTTGTTGTTTTGTTTTGAGACAGTGTCTTATATAGTCCAGACTGGTCTCAAACTCACTTTGTAGGAAGCCAGGATGACCTGGAATTCCTGATCCTCCTGCCTCTACCTCCTAAGTGCTGGGATTACAGGCTTGTGCCACCACACTCAGCTCCCACTGCTGTTTTTATGGAAAACTATCTCTTTATGGAGGGTCTGCAATGTGCTTAGTGAAAACAGCCCAGTGAGCAGTACCCTGTCCTTACCTACCTCCTAAGCATAGATCATGGTCCACAGCCAGCAACTTGCCCAAGCTCTGGGGCCAATGGTAGCAACGTTACTTCTTCTGATTTTACAGACTGGCCTAAAACCTATAATATGCCTACAAAACTGGAAGAGGGGGCTGGAGAGATGGCTCAGTGGTTAAGAACACTGGTTGTTCTTGCAGAAGACCCAGGTTCAAATCCCAGCACCACATGGCAGCTAACAACTGTCTGTAACTCCAGTTCCAGGGGATCCAACAGCCTCTTCTGTCCTCTTCGGGCATTGCACGACACGGGTGCACTTACCTATATGCAGGCAATACATGAATACACATAAAATAAAAATAATAAATAAAAAATATTAATAAAAAAGAATAGTAACTATTTTTAAAAAAACCTGGAAGAAATCCCATTCATTGCCAAGCAGGTCTCTGGTGCTGGGACTAAGGGTGGTTTTCTTCCTTTTATTACTGTTCCCTGTATTTCTGATAGGAACATACAGGATTTTTGTAATTAGAAACTAACAGATTTTGTTGCTTCTTTGTTTTCAAGGATAAAAACTACCAGAGAGCTGTGTCTAACCACCAGAGCTGTTTGCACTGGGGACTGGACACTCGGGAAGGAGGGGTTGGCCCAGAGAAGTGGGTAGGCTTGGGAAGGACACTTGCTCTGGAGTCCTGAGGCCATGTCCCAGTATATGGACCTGTGTCCTCACCCAGATGAGTTCTTACCATCTGCTGGGGTCACTGGGGGTAACCTGAACATTTGCTGCAGGCTGACCCCAGTGGTCTGAAACCTGAGCTCTCTACTTCCTGCTCTGAAGGGTGGGCGGCCTTATCTTCTGTTTCCTCTAGCCAAGAAGTGGCAGTGAGGGGAAGTTCTGGTTTGTCGGGGATATGGACTGGGGCCCCTTTACATCCTCAGAGGAGAGCAGAGGACCCATGGAAAGGCAGGTGAACAGCAAGGGAGGGGCCAGGGATTGAGGCTCACCAGTGTTTGGTGTGCTCTGGTGGCTGCCAAAAGGAGAATGGCCATGCTGAACTGGACCCAGTTCCTTTCAGTTTGGTGTGGGAGGAACACATGGGAGAGAGCAGAGGAGGTGGCTCCATCCTGGTACTATGTGGTGAGTGTACACTCTGAGCTTCCCTCTCCTTAGTAGGCAAGATGGGACAGGGTTAATAACCATGCTGTCTTAGTTTCTTTTCTGTTGCTGTGATAAAATACCCAGACAAAAGTGACTTAAGGAAGGGAAGGTTTATTTTAGCTCACAAGCTCACAAGTCCATCATGTCAGGGAAGTCAAGGCAGCAGGAGCTTGATGTACCTGGTCACATTATGTCCACAGTTAGAAGAAGAGAGCAGTGAATGCACACATGCTAGTACTCAGCTGGCTTCCTCCACTCTGACACTGTTCTGGATTCCCTGCCTAGGGAATGGTGCTGCCCACAGTGGGCATCACTTCCCACATCAATTAATATAATCAGAATGACAGCTCCACAGGCATGCCAGCAGGCCTTTCTCTCAAGAGATTATGCATTCTGTCAAGTTGACAGTTACTCTAACCATTACACATAGTCACGGAGAATTGTTGGGAGGCTGAAATGATGACTGTCCATCCAGTGAGCAGCCCATGGAGGTAACTCAGTAGGAGGGGCTTCACCCCCCTCACTATGACTGCCACCATCATGGTTCTTTGTGAATTAGGTGGTCCTGGAGCTGGCAGTGAAAGTCAGACAGGAGGTCCGTGGGCTTCCCCAAGAGGCTTTTCCTCCAGCTCCCTCTTCTGTTTGGGGTTTCCTAGACAAATATGGAGAGCTGGATTTTTCCACCTTCCTGATCATTATGCACACACAAATGAAACAAGAGGACCCAAAGAAAGAAATCCTTCTGGCCATGTTGATGGCAGACAAGGAGAAAAAAGGTTACATCATGGCGTCTGAGTTGCGGTCCAAACTCATGAAACTGGGAGAGAAGCTCACCCACAAGGAAGGTAAGAGCCTGGCCCTGGCTCCTTCCCACCAGCTGGGGATGATTAGGGAATTGGGGGGAGGACACCAAAACTCGGTGTTGTACAGAGCACCCAAGGCTATTTAGACAGCCAATTAATAATGGCGTGGAAGCTCATGACCAGAAGTCAAGCTAACTGAAGGCTCAACTGGGGCTGGAGACAGAACAGAGGGGAAGGAGGTAACAAGTGGGCCAGGTTAGGGTATCAGCGCAGGGACAGTCCAGTTGGGATCCTAGGGGCAGTAGTGGCTGTTTTCATGTGAACGGTTGGAGCATCTGCCTGGGCCTCACCCTGTCTAAGCTGTCACTGGGGGTCTTCATGTGGCCCAGGATAGCTATGAATATAAACTGTAAATTTACTGAAACATGAGAAATCTGGGTGTGGTGGTGTATACCTTTAATCCCAGCACTCAGGAGGTAGAGGCAGGCAGATCTCTGTGAGTTCCAGGCCAGCCAAATCTACATAGTAAGAGTCTGTCTCAAAAAACCAAACCAAACCAAACCAAACCAAACCCTTTGACTGATGGAAGAAGGGGCTGAGTGGCTTTCCACTAGTGCTGAGGCAGAATGCAGGGTCCAGGGGCCCCTCATTTCCAGGGCTGTCCCCTTTCCACAACTGGCTCTGATGTGGCCATGATGGGGCCTCCAAATTGAGAGGTCAGTGTACTCCTGCCCACCCTTGGCCACAAAGCTCAAGGAGGCGTCTCCTGGTGCAGCTCTTGCTTCAGAGCAGGATGAGGGCCCAGGCCTTCTGAGAAGGCTCTAGGTGCATGCTGGGCCATTTGCAGTGTCCTTCCTTCCAGCCTGTGATCACTGCTAGTAGCCGTGGTCCTGACAGGATTTGCTACCCTAGCCTGCATCATTGATTCCCCCCCAAGGTGGGGGTTTTCAGGTTGGCTGACCAGTTTGCCTTGAGTCCATTAGAGGGCTTGACTTGGCCACAGTGGGTACCAGGAAAAGGCCTCAATATTCATTGGATCTCTGCCTTTGGCCAGATCACAACAAACTAGTCAGAGGTTGCAGGTGTGTTCCTTCAGGGACCCTTGGATGTGTTCTTACCCTTGCTGGAAATGAGGTTGTAATGGACATCCCTGGGCTCTCTAAGACCTAGCATACTATGGACCAGTCTGCTTAGTTATTATCTGAGCTCACAGGCCTTTGTGCAAAGCCTTTAAAAGTGGCGCCCAACAGGCAGGCAGAGTCATCCTCTGGCCTTGTCTCTGCTGGCAGCTGAGGTGGTCTCAGCTTCCACGGCAGCTGTTTTCGTGTGAACAGGGAAACATAGCCTGCCCTCATGTGGGCTGACGGAGTGTCCTGGGAGAGGTGGTTAGTAATCTCTGTCCAAAGTAACACCATGGACCCCTAGACTCATTAACCAGCAAAGGGCATGAGAGGAACTGATGGCAACTGATGTCCCTCCTGAGTGCTGTGGGACACAGGGTATCATATTTAGGAACCCTTTCTTCTGGGGATTGGGAAGAGATGTTCTCTCAGAAGCATCCATGGCGTCCACTGCAGTGCCTGGTTGTGAGGTGCTGCCCCCTTCTGGTCATGCTGGAACTGATACCAGACCTGGCCTCTGCAGCTTGCAAGGATTGGCTGGAGGGTAGAAGCTTTCTTAATAAGATGGGTCAGTTTCCTCAGTGGTGGACACCTATGGGCTTAGGAATAGATCGCAGCACTCTCTCAAGGAGTGATGTTAGGTTGACACAGGATAACAGACTAGCTTTTACAGGAGGGTGAGGATGGTTCCAAGAGCCAGACAAGTTGGCCCTAAGAGGTCACTGTGGGTGACACTGGCTCTACTTGCCAATGTGTGGGACAAGCTTTTTTTTTTTTTTTTTTGAGACAGGGTTCCAGGCTGGCCCTTAGTCTCACAGATCTGCCTGTGTCTGTCTCCCAAGTCTCCCAAGTGCTGGGATTAAAGGAGTGTGCCACCATGTAGGGCCTAAGCTAGCATTCTTAAAAACATTTTTAAGGGCTGGAGAGATGGCTCAGTAGTCAAGAGTATTTGCTGCTCTCACAGAGGACCAGGGTTTGAGTCCCAGCACTCACATGACAGCTTACAACTGTCTGTAACTCCAGTTCCAAAGGATCTGATGCCCTCTTCTGGCCACTAAGGGTATCAAATGACATGGGTGCAATTACATACATGCAGACAGAACACTCATACATACAAAATAAAAATATTTAAATCTTTAATGTGTATGAGTGCTGTACCTGCATGTATGTAAGTGCACCACATGTGTGCAGTGTCTGTGGAGTGCTAACTGCTGAGCCATTTCTCCGGTCCCATATTTTTTTAAAGCAATGTTGAACAATGTAGATTTTTTTTTTTTTACATGCTTTGAACTCTAGATGCAGTTGGTTTTTTGTATGTGTTCCTGCAAAATACATTTTTCAAGTTAGTGCTGGGGATCAAACTCAAACTTGGGGTGCATGTAAGGTGTGCACTCTTCCCACTGTTTTTGTAGGGAGGAGATGGTAGCAGACCTCTTGTCACTGAGTCTCTGCTGCTACCAGGCCACGGGTGGGGAGGAGTCCCTATATGGAAGGACAGATGAAAGCCTGGGCCACAGTGGTTGCGTTTGGAGCTATGGAGAATGCCCACGACCGGGAGCTGAAAGAATGGTATATACTAGTAAAATGCCTACGTCAAAGGTTTTGCTAAAGATAGACACACAGGTCATATGTTTTCTTTCAAAAAAAGCACAGGGACCAGTGAGATGGCTCAGTGGATAGAGGTTCTTGCTGCCAAGCATGACAACCTGAGTTTGAAGGAGAGAAGTGACTTCCACAACTGTCCTCTGACCTCCATGCATGTTCTATGGCATGCATGCCTCCCACAAATAAATAAATGAATAATAAATAGTTAAAAAACTAAAAGCAAGCACAGGGCTTTCAGTGACTGAGTGCCCACCAGTGTGCTCTCTGTTCCCATGCTGGCCCTGTGGAAAGTGGGAACATGGAGGCAGTGTCTCCAGGAGCCTGGGAGCAGGTAGTCCTTTCATTCTCGGGCTTGCTTCACAGTCTATGGGAACAGTCCAATGCACTCTTGGGGAAGACCTTGGGGGACCCCCAACCTCAGCAAATCCAAACTTAAACATTAATATGATTTATTGCAGTGGACAGTCTTTTCAAGGAGGCGGGTATTGAGCCGAATGGCCAGGTGAAATACCATGAATTTATCCAGAAGATCACTCTTCCTGTGCAGGACTACGAAGGGAGCTGAGCCTGAGGCAGCCAAGGGCGAGACAGCTTCCCAGGCCTGAAAATCTGGACTGGTTCAGTTTTTTTGTTTGTTTGTTTGTTTTTTTAAAGGGAAGACCTTTTCACTCTAGAGATGACACAGTAGTAAGACCATATGGCCCGACTGTAACAGGGGTAACTAGCAATAAATGATTCAACCACAGGGTCAGATGCCCATAATGAAAGCTCTGTGTGTTGATCTTAATGACTAACATTAGTTCAGCCTTCTGCAGTGTAGAAGGGCTCATGATTTGGAGTCAGGCTCGCATGGCAACCCTGGCTCTGCAGCTTTCCAGCTGTCTCTTTGGGTCAACCATTTTTGCCTCTCAAAGGCTTTGGGTGTCACGAAAGCTGGATTCCTGCCCTCCTGTCACCTCACAGAGCCCACCAAGGAAGGATGAAAATCATGACTTGAAAATGGCTGGCAAGCTTGGTGTGGTGGTGCAGTGGTATATGCCTTTAATCCCAGCACTCAGGAGGCAGAGACAAGCAGATCTTTGTGAGGTTAAGGCCAGCCTGGTCTACATAGTGAGTTCCAGACTGGCATCTCCAAAAAAAAAAAAAAAAAAGAAAGAAAAATGGTTGGCAATTTGGAGAGCCTGTGGAATTGGAGTTACTATGGTAGTATCTTTCTGAAAAAGGGAAGTCTGCCAAGACTGCAGTCTGGATTTGAGTGCTGGAACCACCTTTCCAAGAAAAAGCCAGGGTTGGTGGGAAAACAGCAACACACACACAGTAGCCTTTCTTATAGCTCCACAAGCCCCACTGAAAAACTCATTTCCACCCCATGACAGTTCAGGACGCTCCTTCATAAACAGAGTGAAAGCACACATCAGAGTGAACTTTGCATCAGCTGAGCAGTGGGAAGTGATCCAACTTCATGCCCTACCAAAAGAAGTGGGAGGATGGGAGCTGTTATCACCTTCTGAGGCTTCACAGATAAGTGGGACTCCCTGATGCTCTTGGCAGAGTAAGTAGCTGTGAACTGTGCTGATGTCAGGTTCTAGGAACTAGGATGGGGATGGTCTGCTCAAGACTTTAAGCTACTTCCTGCCAAATCAAGAAGTGTCTGTCTTTGGGGAAATGACTAGACATATCTTTTATTAAAGGCTAGGCACTGGGAACACTGCAGGGGACTGAACAGTGACAGTCTTGATTCAACTACCGCACACATACTGCATGGCTTCAGACCAAACAGAAGACCTGAGCAATCAGGGCTCATCTTCCCGATAAAAGGTAGTATATATGAGGAGAAACTGCCGAGTGATATTTAGAAGTCTTTTCTGGGAAAGTATGTAGCCTTGGCTGGCTTGAAACTTACTATGTAGACCAGGCTGGTCTTGAATTCGTGGGCCATCCTCCTCCTTCTGCTTCAAGAGTTCTGGGCTGGGGTACTACCATACCCAGCAGAGTTTGGGGTAGGGGGAACAGGCAGTAAATGGCCCAAATAGCTATGTGAAGTTGTGATCATCTAGCTGGGACCCGAGTCTACACAGACCAGAGGTAGATCCAGTCTTGTAAGGTCCGAGTTTTATAACTTTGGTAGCCTTTCTTTTTTAGGTAGTCAGAATTGAATCTAGGGCCTCACACATGCTAGGCAAGTGCTCTACCAGAGCTACATCCTCAGCACCCTTTTTACATTCTTATTTTTTGAGACAGGGTCTTCCTAAGTTGCCTGGACTGGCCTTGAACTTGCCATCCTGCCCAGCCTCCTGAAGAAGTTGTGATTATAGGCAATTTGGTTGCGTTAATACAAAAAATGGGCTGGATCTAGTACATGGGCCTGCAAGGACAATTTTGAGTTTGAGGACAACCTGTGCTATGTAGCAAGATCTGTCTCCAAAACAAAATAATCCAAAAATAAAAATACAGAATTTCTGGGCTGCTCTCAGGGCCTTGAGAGAAACCAGAGCAAATGAGGACAAAGAATTCTTCAACTTCATTACTTCTGTGTTAAATCCTTCTGAGGGGATGACAGACCTGGGCCTCCCAGAAAAAAGGGCTTCATTTCAGTTAGGTAGGGAAGGGTCACGGAGGGACACACCTCTGAGTCCAACCACAGGCTCAGGAGTAAACAGGCACTTCATTCCGACACTGTAGATGGGATGGGACAAGGAGAGCCTGGAGTGTTATAGAGGAGGGTGCTTTCTGCAAAGTACCTCTATGACCCTGTCAGTGTCTGCTCCTATTTCTCTCTCTCCCCC